GTCTTATACAGTCAATGAATTTCCTGAAGCCACTATAAACACAACATCATCACCCAACAGGACAAAGTTGAAGTCACTGTCACTTAGAATTTATGATAAAAAATTAAAGCTTTTGAAACAAAAGCTAAAGAAAACGAAAATAAAAGTTTTGTTAAAAAATGCAAGTCTCATCAAATTGAACCCAGAGGAGAAATTTGAACATATGTGTTCAATGCAAAGTCAAGGAAAAGAATAAAGTTATTAGAAATGCAAGTGCATCGAGGGAGATACTGCACATAGAGGTTGTGTCACCTTCCTATTGAAGGATGGCTATTGTCACATGATGACATCATCATACACCAGCATAGTTCCCATTAAACACGTGAATTTAGGTGGGAGTTAGCTCAAGATTAGTGGTATGTAAATCTCATAGGCAGACACATGAGGGAAATAGCATTTCTGTATGCAGAGGTGAGTTATCTTCTCAGAATCTCCTATATTCCTAATAGACTACTCTGCTACTACATTTAGTTAAGTAGTATTATTCCTGAATGAAGCTGTTTCCTTAAATCAAGCAGTAAGACCAATAGGAATGACTGCTCAAGTAGTAAGGTAAAATGAATAGGTTCATCCTCTTAAAATAAAAATACAACTGACAGAGGATGTGAAATTTAATTCAAAAAGCAAAACAGCTGAATACATTTAATCACTTAGCTAATAATATTAGGACAGTAAAGACTGTCTGATTGTCTCTTCAAATAGCAGGAATGATTCTTTAATTTACTTCTATCATTATTGTCACATCCATAAATTCTCTTTCAAATTTCAGTCATGAATGGTCTAAAATCAAGAATTTTGTATAATAATCTGTATAATAGTCTGATTCTGATTAATTGGTTTTATGGCCAATAAACCAATCAGTACATGCTAGTTCCTATTAATCAGTTTATTTGCCATAAAATGGATTAGTTAGGATTGAATGATATTATATAAATAACTGGTCTAATACTTACAAAAAATATATTAATTTTAAGCACTCCACGGCTGAAGTTTGAAGAGAATTGAGATCAAAATCACTTTCATATTATCTTAGTTTCTGGTAAGTTTTTCATGTACTAGTCTCCTAAAAATTACAGAAAAATCACCCTACAAAAATTTCTAAAAATATCCCCTTCCTAACAGTTTCCAGGCCTCACTGGCCAATGAATCATTCATCATATCACAGACCCACTAGAACATTTCTGATTTTTCAACATCTTTCTGATATACAATTTAAAACCTCACTACTTTGACTAAATGTGTGGCAACTAACAACCTGAATTCAATACAACTCATTATTCTTCCATTCCTAAACTTGATAATTATAACACTTAATGTTTATGTAATTTGAAAATGACTAAATAGTAACTGTAAATATTTAAGAGGTGAGGAATGAAAAACAAACCACTCCATGCATTACTTCCATTCAAATTAAGTTATTCACATGATAGTGTTGAATATACTGAATGTTTGCATCGTTGTTTTCATTCATAATTACATGTAAATCATCTATGTCAAATCACCAACCTCTTAGGTCTAGGATTGGCATAGTTTATGGAATCAAATGTGAGTAAATTATATCTTGTTACATCGTAAGTTATCTCAAAGTTATCAACAGAAGGATAACAGTAAGTAATAAAAGTTGAAGTAATATAATTACACAATGTTCCATAAATGAAAATTTGATTTTTCTTATGATGACCATAAAAAATTAATTTAACAAGAACATAAAATCCCACACAACTTATGTTGTGTTTTATTGAATAATGATATACTTCCTGAAACAATTTTTGTTTATGTATTATATAATTATGTTGTTTAGATACATTTGCACTTGCTCATGTTATCCCCCCCCCGACATCACAGTACTTAAGTTAGCAATTATGTTGACAGCAGAAATAAGGAACATTAATTTAGCAACAAAATCATAAATCATTATTGTTCACATATGTATTTTGTTACAAGCTATTTTCAACTCAATAAAAAATCCAGGGTATGATACCCTGCAGTGGACACAGCAGATAGCCCAAAGTGGCTTTCCTTTGAAAACAAACAAACAAACTCAATGAGAAGCCTACACATCCCACATGCTATTGAAGTAAGTTTATCATTATAAAAGAATAACCACAAAAAATAAAAATAAAATCATATTTTGACTTTTTGTAATGAAATGAATAATTAAGAGAGAGTTTTGCTTAAACCTAATTTTTTGTTTGAAATAATATGGATTTCAAATGTTGTTTAAATATTGCATTTGTTATGCTGAATACAGTAAAACAGATGTAGCTTCGTAATCGTATCTTACCAATTTCAATTTAATGGCATTTTATTGTTCACTCCACTTTCAACAAGCAAATAAAAATTATTGTGATCTGTTGTATATACCAAGGCCAAAGTATGGTGACCTCAAGATATAGAACAATGAAAATGATACTTGTATTACTTTCTGTATTAATGTGTTTTCACAATAGAGAATATTTTATCACACAGGTAGTTGGAGTAACTAAAGATTCTTGTATTTGGCTGGTGGAAATAAGTAAGAAGGTCTATTTACTTTAGAAGAAAAAATAAAATGAAAACTAAGTTTTCTATCACCAAAACAATACTTTATTTAAGACAAAAAATGTGATGTCTTCACTCAATTGAATCAAATAGATTTGATCTAAATTGAAATTGGCTGAACTTGTTGTGATAAAGTATTTTCATTTCAAACAAACGCAAACTGGAACTTAGGATTAAGTGCAATAAAACATTTAAAACAACACTAATTTGAACACCAAAGCAAAGGCAAACTGAGAAGAATGCCGATCAGCAACAAGAAAACAAATAGAAGCAGAATCACACTTCTTTAGAGGCAAGATAATCTCAGTTAAAAAAAAAACACAAAGATGTTAAAGTGAGAGAAACTCTCACCCAAGAAGTATTAATCCTCCAAAGCTCAGCCAAGTTGAAATCAGGATAGATTCCTCGAAATGGAAAGCTTTGCTACACACATGCGACAATTGAGCAGGTAATCTCATACTAAGAGAGCACTGACCACCATACACAACTGCCAAATATAGTAGCTAAAACAAACCTGACAGGCTTCTGCTTTAGAGAATAACCCCTAAGGCCAAGTTTCACAAGTACAAGATGACATCCTGTTCCCAAACTAAGTACTGTATAAAAACAAAATAAAATGTATATTAATAAATTCACTAGTTATAGAGGAGTACAATAATGGCAGTAACCTACCATATTAATCTAATAACAACTTCCAATAGAAATTTTTAGCACTATAATTTATTTTTTACATCTGTTGTGATACAATTTTATGAGATTTATTGTGTAAATAAAAATGCATTTATTAATTTTTATCCATAATCTTAATTTCAGTTATCTGGGGTGTATCTGTTACACATCTTTTTAAGGGTTTAATTTCATTGAAATTTCTATATTTCAAAATGAATAATTTTTCTAATGAACAACAAAACTTATCAACTCATTAAATTAATTCATTATGTAAACAAATATAAAATCTATAAATATCTGAATTATTATTGCAAATTTATGTTGATGTTGTAACAAGTCCATTATACAACATTCTGATATTTTATTGAATGTTCTTTTCCACTTTATCAGATCAAGTGACTTTGTTAGGTTCAATACTGTATGATGAAACAAATGTTAAAAACAGACAAAATTTTTGTGCTGACTTATCACAGCTTGTTATATTTCAACAGCTTTGAAGAATTGTTACTAAAATTACTGTTATTCAGCTTCTCACACAATAACACCAAAAGTTAATATTTTTCAACATGATTCATGATGAGTAGCTACATGTGATTGACATTTTGGTGACTTCATTGGATTACAGTCATTCAAGTTTCATGCATGGTCTCACTTGTAAAGTGGCAGAGAACATACACATTTTTTACTTGAAGTGTTGTTGCTTTTACTAATTACTACTGGGGAAAATACAGTAACATTGAAAATTAAACATTTTAAGGGGGAAATTTTCACATACTTGTACTAAGTCTCACATTTTTGTGCTGTTGATTCAGTCATATGATTATGATTAAATAGTAGATACTCGAAACAAGTTAAAATTGTTTTGATGTAAATACTTTGCACACTAAATTTAATAATTCTGAAGATCACCCCCCAAAAATAAACTTATGAAAATTAAAACCAATTACAGCAGTATCATTATGTGCATGATTTGTTTCAAATATTAGTAGTAAGGCAGCTTGTCCCATTCTAGTCTTGGTTATCAGATTTTTATAGCTACTTATATATGACATCACAAGCACCTATTAGTCAAAAATAGTGCTAGTTATACAATATATATGAAGCAATAATAACACACCTCACACAAGAAACTAATTCCAACTCCCAAAATTAAAGTACATCCACAAAAATTATTTTCCATGACTTTGTACAAGTTCATGGAAAATCAAAGCTTTCCAGACTTGAAAAGTTAGTTATTAATTTTCCATGACATTTCAAAACTGTACAAACATTAATAGTCAAAAAATAGCAATCAGCCATTTCTTGGCAATTGGATTACTTATTAGGAGATTATTAAAAACTAAACTATGATATATTGCTAAAAACAGAATATATCTGAAATAGTTATAAAGAGCTATCAAGATATTATTACATAAAACTTAGAATAATGTGTACGATATGAGAAGCTTTGAGTTTTGGAATATCAAAACCTATTGTAAGATCTGTTTAAGTCTCCAAGCTGGCAACAATAACAACAACAACAAAAAAAAAAAAACAGTAATGGCTATGTAAGCATTTAAAAATTATGGTTTTGCTTCCCATTTTATTTTTAATTTGATAAATATTTTACTAGTTCTTGGGGATTCTACCAAATAAGATTGTATTGCAGATTATTATGTAAATTTCCTTGTCATACAAAATTGTTTTTGTGGTCTGTTTTTTAACAAATATTTAAAGAAATCTCCATATAATGCTTAGAATAATGTACTCACGAGTTCTATCCTTGTTCCAGGCATGACACATTATAGGCTCTACGCCAAAACTATGTATTTCCGTCATCAGGACTAACAACTGATGACACCAACTTTTGTACACACTTCAGGATTCAGGACTAAATCCTTCTAAATTTATGATGTGTGCCCTAAAACACAAATGGAAAGTACATTAACAATAGAAACAACAAAAGGTAATATTTTTTTGGATGTGTTCACATAAAGAAAGCACACCATACAGGTTAACTTATTCCAAAAATATCCATTCAAATTATACCAAAATTTTGTTTGGTTCAAAATTAAAATTATTTGAAATTATACTGTACATTCATTTAACAATAATAATAACAGATTTTGTTTCAATAAATTGTGAAAGTTGATAGTCCATGAAAAGATATGGATGATGGACCGATTAGGAAAAAATTGTTAATATTTATTAATATTTTTTGGAAAAACTCAGTTCTATAATACATGTGAACAACTCTTTTTTTTTTCTCTCTCTTGCTATACTGTTTAGCTGTACCCTTAAACGTTTCACTTACATGCAAGTTTTTATTATTTTTTCAAGATACAAATTCTAACAATGTGGAAATTTTACTATCTTTTCCACTTTACAATAGTTTATTACTTACTAAAACTTCAATAAATCTTGAAAGATATGTTCAACATCTGTCTTATTCTGTTGATTTCTAACATTTAATCAAGCACTGTAACATAAATGATTTTTCAACTGAATAAAGATCAAGAAATATCTTCTTATGAAAACAATTTTAGAATAAGCATAACTAAAAACACATAAAAAATGTTGCAGTACAAATTTCAAAAACAAAAACTAAGATATGTTAATCAGATACTAGAAACTTATAGACTATTGAATAATTACTTTTTTTAATTCACCAAAATAATAAGAATGGAGGTAAAGAAGTTAGAATCAAAACATTATATATAGAATTATATGTGTTTTGTTTTTAGTTATCCTCTTATCTCCATTATTGTGCTTCCTTAGCAATCTAATGTAGCTATCTGGTTGAATATTAATTTGCTTTTGGGGTTGCTTACAAATCTATATGGAAAACTGGATGAGTTGGAAAGAACAGTTTCAAATGGTTGAAACAATATTGAAAATAAAGTTTGCTTGAAGATGATTAGAACTGAATAGTTCAATCTTAAAATAACATATTTTTTGTGTATTCTAGCAATTTATATACACAATTTGAAATGGTTTTCAATTTCATAAAATCCAAAATTCTATATTTATTGATGTTGACACAAGTTTTTAAGTTTGAATTGTTTTAAAATTTGGCTAGATTGGTATAGGGAAGGTGTATATATATATCTATATTTCAGCTGTATTGCAAAAAAAATAAAAAATATAGTACTGAATGATCACTTGCCACCTTAACTTTTCTTATGCTCTTATAATATTGATCCTTTGAAAGATTTTAAAAAAACATGTTACGAAAGAAAGAAACATAGTTGAAGTACTAAATGATTTTGTTTAATAGTGTTTCAAATGATGGAGAAGAATTATCCTTAAACTGACAAATTTCTTTAAAGGTGGGAAGAATTTTTGCTTACAATTTAATTAAGAAAACGCTATTTCAGGAGAGCTTAAGAAATAATAAATAAATAAAGGTCCCAATCCTGACAAAATCTATTTATAATACTGAAGAAGCTTAGCAAATGGTTAGTGGGAGCTTTACTAATTGGTAATTGGATTACTTATCAGGAGATTATAAAAACATACTCTATGTTATATTGCTAAAAACAGAATAGATCTGAAATAGTAATAAAGAGATATAATGGTTTTGTTACATAAAACACTTGACAGTAGAGAAATCACCGATAACTGATAATTTCTGAAGCCCTTTTGAGTCTGAGTGAAAGGTGATTTTCATGCTAATAATAAACATACTTCTTTTCATCTTAAAGTTTTCATATTTCATTTGCACAACCTCTAGAACCTAAATGAACATCAAGTTTCTTTGGTAAAACATTTATTTTATCTCTTATCTCCTAACTGTAGAAAAATCATTAATATATAGTAAAAAGAAAAGTTGAAAAATATTAATTCGAAAAGTAATACCATTTTTTCCTCTGCATTGATTACAATACTGATCAGAAAGTTACAAACTGTTTACCTTAACAGTTTTAACTGTCAACCTTTTTATATATCCTTTTGATTTTATGGTTTTAATGTCATCAGTTTTACCATTGGAGCTGTAACCCTTGCATAATAACAGCAGGAGCCAATTAGCTGATTTTCACAGTGCTAACATAGCACATGAGCGACTGTCATATATCACACTAGCACCCAAGCTAGTATAATTTTATAAACTTTATATTTTGGTTACTTTCACTAAACTCTAAATAACAATAAGTGAAAAATATACATAAAAACAAGGAGTTCTAGTACTCACTGCATATTTGAGCTCTTTGCATTCAAGTAACAATATCTGACATAATTACTTCTCCCCATTGGTAAAAAGGATCAAGTAACAATTTATGAGGGACGCGTATGCTAAATTAGTTCTTTCAAAGCTCTACTACTGGTTCAGACCTTTTAGCCACAAAAAGTTATTTTGACAATATATTTTTGAAGGAATGCAATAGATGATCTCAATGGGTTAAATTTTTTATTGCCAACTTGAACTTGCTTCTTTTGTTAATTATGAAATATCCTAAACTATTGATTTCAGTTTAATGAAAAAATATCACCACCAAATATGCACTGGTTTGCATAATGTACAGTATGATGTAATTTATTCATATCTGGCCTAAAACATTAGTATAGCCATATATCATACAAGTAAAAGTTCTTCTCGTTAAGTCTAAACTGCTATATATGTATGTGTGTGTGTGTGTTTTTATTTTTAATAATTACATAAATTATTTAATAAATATTATTAAATTTCTAATAAAGAAAAAATTACACACATTTTTTGCTACGTAACGTTATCTTATTATTACTTTTAGGCCTAGTGCAGTACTACTAGTAGTAGTAGTCACTAGTTTTTAATATATAATTAAATTTTAAATAATCATAATGTTCTTAACTTGTAAACTAAATCAATATGTTCCTTACTCAGTTACTGGTGCCACACCTTTATCATAAAAGTTAATTCACATAAACCTAGTAAAGCCAAAGGCTAACGTTAGAACTAAGTTAGAACTCAGCCTATATCTTACTGAAATGCCAAAGTATCCGAGTCTTAGTAGTATTACCGGAATCAGAAATAAGCTCACTCTTATCTCATAATATAATTGGTATTGATATTTGTAGTACTAATTTAGACTAACAATTACATCGCTCGAGAATTTCGTTAGGTTAGGCTTAAGCCGACATCGTTGCCGTTGCTATCAGTATCAGATACTACAAGTGTCTCAATATTCGTATTAAGTTACTTTAAATATTATATTTAATAAGTTTATTAAATTTTGCACTATAATAAACGTTTCAGCATTAACTAGCGTCTTTATCGTTTACATTTATGTAAATACAACTTACCTTTTTCGTAACTTAAAATAAAAATACCCCAAACATACAAAATCAATGGCTTGTTATTTGCAAAATTTGTCAGAAACCATCGCCCAACCGGAAATACTCTTGTGAGACGAAAAACGGAAGTATGAGAGAGCGTTAAAATACATGAGCTGTAGCCTCACTTTATGTCATGAATGTCCTTGTATTTCGTGTTTCAAAGTAACAATATAAGATGAATTTCCCCATTAAACTAAAAATAATAAGAAACTTTAGTGATTGTGTTAGAAAATTAGCCAAATAATTGTTTTTACTTATCAATAATTAAAATTTATTCTGTCAAACAATAGAAACTATAAAAAATCTATATTCAAATAATACTGTTAATGTTGGATTTAGAAAAAAATAACGAAGATTTTTAAAATATGTATAACACATATTTTATCTCCTAAGAACACCATCGCTTACAGCCAAGTAACGACATGTGTGTTTTCATTGGATAATAGTTCTTAATTTTGATTGGTGTAAATGTACGAACGTCAGACACATAACCTCTAAAAGTCCACGTGTCTTATGCCGATAGCTCATATACATGTTTAAGTATATAAATAAGAGGAACAGAAATACGTATTTTCAAGAAGACAGAATTCGAGCTTTCAGTCATAGTTATATACTTAAGTCTTCATCTATACATCCTTCATTTCTGTTTCATTATATATTTTTGTGGAAAATTCTAGTTTAATTATTTTATATGCCCAGAAAGCTACAAGAGAATCTTAATACTTTTTTCGGAAAAACACACACATAAGTTTAATCAAAGAAAGCAAAGTAGCCATAGACAGGTAAGTCTGATGTTTCTTTATCCGTATGGTAAAATACTCGAGCCCATAGACTTGTTAGTTTGATACGAGTTTTTCCATTGCTAAGAACTTAAAGAAGCTAAGTTCATAACAACATTCGTATAATTTCATTCAAACAGAATATTAATCAAATCTTGTTGTTGTTTTTTTTTGGGGGGGGGGATATTTTTTCTTGATTTTTGCAAATTTTTAAGAATTTTAAATAAAATCGTTTGTTTCTTCGTAACAAATAAAATATTTTATTTTTTCATAGCGTCACTTCCATTTAATGACAGTGAAAACTACTTAAATTATTAAAATTTTTGTGGTAAATATAACATCTCTAATTGAAGAAGAAAATACTTAACATTATGCACGTCTTTTCGTATCTCTAGAGATATTTTAAGATATTCTAAAATAACTTCCGAGCATGGAAATGTTCCACGTGGCAAGATTCAAGTTCATTGACGAGTTGGTTATAATATTTCAGTTTGATGTCACGTGAGCTACACACACATATATGTATAGGTCGCATATTCTTAATTCTTAGGACAGTTTTTGGTGTGCTGTCATGAATACGCTAGAATGCTTATTAAATGTGGTTCATGGACTATGAAGTAGAATAAAAAATACCAAGGCTAAATTAGACATACGTCAGAGGTTGTAGTTAATTATTACCACATATATAATTTTTTTCTCGTGATGTTTAGCAATTCGAACCGTTTGAATCTGTAGCCCTTGGTATATAGATTCAAGTTCATGAATTCTCTATTTTAGTTACTCATAGAAAACAGTCAAGGAATTCATGAACGCTTAGTCTTATACCATAACTAGCATGTATCTTCTGTACCTTGGATAAACTTTTTGTGTGTGCTAAAAACAATATGTTTTTCAAACATCTTTTTTTGTATTAAATAACTTTGCAAGCATGAAAATTACATTAAAATTTAATTTTTATTAATGAAAAAAATAAAAACAAACTTGTTTTTGTGCCAAAAAGTCAAATAAGTTCATTTTTGCGTGTTGGTCTAGTGCCATAGGAGAAAAGCAAAAATCCAACGTTGGACCATGGGCATATTTGAATAATACCCATTCTTACTTTTTTTTCTTTTTAGAAAATAAAATATAACATTTTAAGTTAACAATTGGAGAACACAGTGAATATAGCAAATTAACGATGATAACTATCAGCAGACCAATTCTAGTCACTAAACATAATTCATTTTAAAGTTCTAAAGTGATTTGCTTGACACTATATATATCATAGAATACCCGAACGGTGTAATCAAAAACTTTCATTGAAAAGTTATAGCAACTTCAAAGTTAAATGCTAAAGCTTTCTTAACTGGTCATAACCCATTAAACAAAGTTAAATAAGCAATGTTTCATTCTCATACATTGCTTATTTAACTTTGTTTAATGGGTTATGACCAGTTAAGAAAGCTTTAGCATTTAACTTTGAAGTTGCTATAACTTTTCAATGAAAGTTTTTGATTACACCGTTCGGGTATTCTATGATATATATAGTGTCAAGCAAATCACTTTAGAACTTTAAAATGAATTATGTTTAGTGACTAGAATTGGTCTGCTGATAGTTATCATCGTTAATTT